CTGGATCTCATCATCGCACAGGGCTCCTGGCACGGCCGGCGTAGTTAGCAGTGTGCCGGGTGGGTGGCAGGTCTCGAAGGACCGTCGAGCCTCACTTGTGTTCTGAGGGGCTCACCTTCTGTGTCGGGCTCTGTGTTTGGCTGTGAATGGGCAGCGTATTTTTCATGCTAAAAGCCAGGTATTGCAGAGTGAAGACTGCAGTGTGGGAGGATGACTCTGGTTGAGTCCCAGGTGCAGAGGTTTGGTCTCCCGGCCAGTCGATTGCGCTTTCTAGAGCTGGGAGGGGGGGTGGGGGGTGGGGACATGACACCTTTCTGTGGATCTGTGTGGATGTGGCTGCGTTGCAGTTGCTTTTGAAGTATAACTTCGAGTAACCTGACTTTCTGTTTTAAAAACAAGATGCATTAGGTGTTGGCTTGTCTGGGAATCAGGGAAAGGCAGTGCAAGAATGAAGAGGGTTCGGAACAGAGTAAACAGACTGCGCTTGACTAAGAAGTCTTCCCAAGTCACTGCTTTCCCACCGCAGGAATGGGGGGCGGGCAGGAATCCCCATCCCACAGACATTGGGCTCCCCCTGGGGTACAGGCAGGGCTGGGCCAGGACATTTGGGTGCTGTGGGCCAGATTCCAACGGATGATCTTTCAACACTTACTTGTCAACAACCTTTTCATGGAAGGCGGTAACCTGATGTATCACGAAAACCGATACGCCTCCCTAACTTCGCAATAAGAACTGTATTACATGAATTTATTACAAGAGATTTTCCAAGTCAGACAACCACTTGGAGGCCTATTAAATGATTTAACATTTAGGGAGTAAAACCAATCACTCATTCCCCGGGAACAGCCCTATGCATGCATAACCGAGTTTCAGAACTGTGTCTGCCCACCCCCCCCAGGCTTGCCAGGTCTCTCCCGGGGTTGGTCTCAGAGCCGGGAGAAGGGGCGAGCTCCGTGGGAATGAGTGCCCTGCCCCTTGTGCTCGACAGTGTGGGGGTCACAGCAGCTGGAGAAGGGAAGCCTAAGCGCAGGGCTGGCATTCCCACTTTCCCAAGGATGTTTTACGCCTTCTTATGGGATGCCGATCGGAAAGTTGCTTGGCTCTTTAATCTGCCTGAGGTTACAGACTCAAACTAAAAAAATCAAATCCCACGGAGCAGGTTTCTCCCCTTGGCACGCTTGGACTTGGATAATTTTTTGTTCGAGAGACTGTCTTGTGCATTGTACGGGTTTTAGCAGCATCCCTGGCCTCTACTCACTATGCCAGTAACACCCTCCCCCACCACAGTGTGACAGACAGAAATGCCTCCAGGTACTGCCAGGTGTCCTTGAGAGCAAACGCTTCCTGGGAGAATCCTGCTTTAGGAAGAGGAAGGAAGGAAGGGCAGTGAGCATCTGTGGTGCTGAAACCCCAGGAGAGCCTTGTCTGCAGAGCTGGGTTAAGTAAGAGGTTCTCAGGGAAAATGGGAAAGGGAGTCTCCAGTCCTCGCCAGACTAAAGGGAAAGCTTTTAAGCAGTTTCATTTCAGAAAGATGTCTGGTGATTTAAAAAAAACACACACAAAAAACCTTTATTGTTGGGAGTATTACAGGTGTCCCCTTTTTGGTGATTTTTTACTGAGATGAGGTATTAGAAGATTAGAAATAGTTGTTTTGTTTTGTTGTTTTTAAAACCAGCAAATCAAGGAAGGTTCCAGAAGTGTTCTGATACTTTTAGGAAATGCATTTTTGAGCCCTCTCCCCACCATGTTTGTGGTTCTCATGAGACTGGACTAGGGAGCCTTGCTCCACCTGGTCTGCCAGTTCTTCATGCAGAGGATGATCCCGAGGGTCCTAGTGGACCCTGTGTGCAGCAGGTGGGAAAATGGGCAGGAGCGCTCCCAGCTTCCTCTGGGCAGGGGACACCGGCACTTCAGAGGGGACTGTGTGAGTGGTAAACATGTACTCAAGTAAAGCCATCGGCGTTCACACACGCAGACACAGGGCACTGAAAATCTTCCTCAGTAACAGAGGGCAAGAGAGATGAAGAAAGAGGCTGCCACCCCAGTTGGTAATTAACAGAGTTTATTAGGGGAAACTCACAAGGCATGTCTTGGAGGCTGCAAGAGGAAATAAATGGATCATCACGCTGCTTGGCAGGCACCAAAGAATTATATAGGGTAAGGGGGGTGGGGGGCCAGTCACGGTGCTAGTGCATGCGTGCTTCCAGGTGCGGAAATTACTTCACATGCTTGACCAGCCTGTAAACAGCCTGTTCCAGGAACCAGCTCGTCGCACGAGGCAAGGGAGGGGCGCTGATTTATGTCAGAACGAGCATCCGTTTCGGTCCATGTCTAAGGGGGCTGCAGGGAGCCCTCTCCCGCTCTGGCCCAGGTCCAGCTCGCAGGTCCCGCCGCGGTCACAGCACGGGACTTTCCCTCCTCCACAGTCGAGAGTGGATGATGGTCCTGGAGTACTGGTTTGCAAGCTGTACCCTTCCAGCAGCTGGCATGACTTTTCCTCCAATGACACGCAGAAACCCGACGTGAACAACACGGGTCAGACCCAGTCTGAAGGCAGGTGGGGAGGGGCCTGCAGTGCCCGCCGCTCAGCGCACCTCGGAGCTGGCTCTTCCGAAGAGGTCGCATTCCTGGCGGACTGAAATAGGCTAATGCTCGGCTGGACAGCCATCTTTTCCCCTCTGACTGGACCTATGATCTTTCTTCTATTTCAAGTGAAAGTGGTTTTCAAAACCGTAAACCTGGATGAAGATAATAATACTGGTCTGTTGCTGTGTAGTTTTTATTCTCAATCTATAGAAGCAGATTCAGGGCTGAGAAAACACATACATGCATATAATATTAGAAGTATTTTGATGCTTTATTATGAAAAACTTAACAATGCAGATAATTAGAAGAGAACTGTCATCTCCTAAATTTAAACTGTCATTTTTTCATATTAGCTTCACACATTTTTTAAAACTTCTAATGAATAAGAATTTGCAAAAACAAACCATAACAAGTCTGGGAATATTTTTACCACATTCTTGCATCCCCTGCCCTAGTTCATCTTACAGATTTACAATGTAATTTGAATTTAGTTTGATTCAACATGCAGGAATTAGATGGGCTGGTCTTCATTCAACAATAATTTTGGGGTGCCTCGATGTACCAGGACCTGAGCAGACAGTGATGAACAAATTAAACATCTAAACAGCTCCAGCCCCGGTTTTATTAGAAATACAAGTTTTTGCCATGGCTGGGTAGCTCAGTTGGTCGGAGCGCCATACTGATATGCCAAGGTTGCAGGTTCGATCCCCAGTCAGGGCTCATACAAGAATCAACCAATGAATGCATAAAGAAGCAGAACAACAAATCGATGTTTCTCTTCCTTCCTCCCTCCCTCTCCCCTTCTCTCTCTCTCTCTCTCTCTCTCTCTCGCTCTCGCTCTCGCTCTTGCTCTCTCTCAAAAATAAAGAAAGAAATGCAAATTCTTCAGTTGCTTGTCTGGGAAACGGAAGAAAACGAGTTCTGTGCCATGGGGAGGGGTAGCTGGTGAGGAAAAGATCCTGGGATGAGGGTGTATTTGGAGGTGTGGGGAGCAGGCCCGCCCACAGTGTGCTGGTCCCATTCTTGGGTTGGCGAGGCACTTGGTGCACGTAGCTCCTGCAGACTGGGTGTGTGTGCAGCTTGGGAGCTGGGACTGGCTTTCCTGCTCACAGCTCAGCAGCTCAGCGTCACAGCTGGGGCACTGCATGGGGCCGGCCCCCGGGGGTCAGCTACCATAGAGGCGGAGCTGTTAGATGGGCTGGTTATTCACTTGCAGGGGCGTGGGGAGTGGATCTGGTGATCAGAGTGCTTTGTTTTCTAGTAGCGATTACTCTGCTATTTTTATTAGTCAGCACATAAAAGGACATAATACACAAGTATCTTACCTAGGAGAAGTAGCCCATTGGGAGCACCTCGAGTTTCCCAGGCCCCCTGTTCTCTTTGTTTTCTAGTAGCAATTACTCTATTTTTATGTCAGCACATAAAAGGACATAATATACAAGTATCTTACCTAAGAGAAGTAGCCCATTGGGAGCACCTCGAGTTTCCCAGGCCCCCTGTTCAGCTCCGGCCGACTTGCCCTCCCCACTGGGCTTCAGCTCTCTCCTCCATCTGAAGAAAGGCGGAGCTGTTGCCTTTCCGTAGAGGGTGACTTCTTTCAGATGTCCATCCAGGTGGGACCGTTTGGAATGTGCCCTGTCCTACGCCCATTCCCCCGTGAGCTGTTGTGTGCAAAGAGCCGGAGAAGGAAGCAGTGTGAGTGTAGGTCTCTGTGCTTATTGACCTTACCCACCCAGCCTTACAGGAATGAATCAATAACCTGTCTTTAAAGATTCCATAGCAAAGGCGTTTTCAGGACAGAAAGTACATTTGGGGAAGCTTCGGTTTAGGCTGGAAATACAAGCCAGGTGCTTTCTCACTGAGTTTAATATTTGGTAATGTTTTTGGTGGGTCTTCCTATGTAGATGCCAGCCTGACTCACATAATAATGGAATAGGGGTAGAATAAGTGAAGGAGATACTGGGCCCTGGTTGTAGGTGGAAACACAAGGTTTATTTTCAAATGGAGAGCGTTTTTTGGCAGGAAAATATTCCTCTTGGATTTTGTGATTGCTTTAAAAATGAATTGCTTTCATGAATGAGTTTTGTGGGCCCCTCCCCCCCAAATATGTTTGTGCTGACAAAAATGATAATACCCCATTTCATACAGTGGAATTCACATGCTAGTTGCATGGGTTGGGGGAGGCGTGTGCAGAAGACTTCAGGTTGATTTTCTCATCTTTAAACAGGGAAGGTGGGGTTGGCGTTTCAATCACATCTCTCTTCCCTCACTTTACAAATCGGTGGAAAGTAGGATAGTCGGTCACATGTTTGCAGTGAGATTGCTTTTCAAAATGCTGCAAGGCCGGTGCATACGTGGCATGGGGGCAAGAGTTCACAGTGACCTATGGGTGACTTCTTCTCCCTCTCCGGCAGGAAATAACCACGTGTTTACCAGACTACTACAAGTGGACGCAGTACCTCTTTATCAAGCTCTACGACGCTGGACTGGCCTATCAGAAGGAGGTAAGTCCAAGTTAGCTGCACTTTATATAAATTTCCTCCGTCTGCTTAGAACACACCATTGTTAAACAAGAAACAAAGATGCCCTATTTGCCCAGGAGCCGTGAAAATGAACATGACCTCAAGTTCATGGCCTGGGTCTCAGCAGATCCAGAAAGTAACCACGCCCGGCTTAGTTTGCTGCCTCCAGGGCAGGGCTTGGTTCTTTCTCGCTTGAATTCCCAGCACGTAACAGTGCCTGGTGCCTGGGCTGAGATGGGGGGCGGGGGGGGGGGGGGGGGCGGAGGGGGAATG